CCTGAACTGACATTGTTTTCAACAGGACGCATTCAGTTTACTAGCATATTCAGATCCTTGGAACAGTCCAGTTGGAAATCAACTTGATCCAATTCAGAGAGAACCTGTGTGCTCAGCTCTTAACAGTGCAATATTAGGTAAGTAACTAAAGCAAGACAACTAGACTTCAGCTACATTTCTCTGAACATTTGAAAGGATATTGTCCTAACATTTGTTTCAGTAAAACAGGAACATATTTACCTTAAAATACAGAAAATTTCCTCCATACCAGATTACATGAATTCCGATGGAATAAAAATGGTAAGATACTGAAATTTTGCAATGTTTGTTTGAAAAATATATAAGCACTTAATGAGTCCTCTCATTTAGAATGCGGTAGTTGGGTAATCTTTGTGTTTAAGTGAAAAACCCTACCATAGAGGCACCCTGTAGCCCATAGCCCTCACTTTGGGACTAGGAATAACAGGTAGTGTTTTTTAAATTCTTTGATCTACTGGGCCTAAACTCCTTCTCCATTATCACCATTGGGGTGAGTTGTGGAGGATGTAGGAAGTGTGTGGCCTTGACTGGCCCAGGTGAGAAAGGTGGCTTTATAGTGACAATATAGGAAGATACAGAACCTCTCTTTATCAGTAGCTGTGTTTAGGCTGATCAAAACTTGGTTTGACTGCTGTGGAAGGAATTTGGGCGTGTTTAGAAAGTTTTGATAGTTGCTCCACAAGAAAGGGAAGCTAGAAGGGAGTACTTGACTAGAGTACTCAGGAGTCAAAGCTGGTACCACTCTGATACTGCATTCTGCTTCTTTTGACTCAAGGTATTTTAAAAAAGAATGAGGGTTACCTGAGCTCCCCACATCATAGGTTCTGTCTTAAGATATAAGCAGTACCAACCCCTGGACTCAAACATTTGCATTCAGATTAACCAGTCGCTTTCTCAGTGTGTATGGGAAATGGGGAACTAGAACCTATTGTTCTGTTAGTTTTAGTTTCTATTCCTCTCAGTATGTCACACAGTTGTGGCAATAGTAATTACACACTGAACAAATATTTTATGCAGATTCTGTGGTTGCACTCCTGTAAATGTTACTGGGTTGATCTGCACATAAAGCTTAATTTCTGAGCTGTTTTCTTCAAGGGTTATTTTACATCTAACTTTAGACTTTTAACTTACCCAATAAAATGAGACTTCAGTCCAGTTTAGAAGTTTGTACTGTTGTTATTTGGCCTGGTGAAGTTTAAAAGATTTGTAGTCATGTGTTTCAAACAATTTGGAATTGCACTGTCACACAAGTAATTTGGACATTGGTACTTGTATTGAAGGCTAAATTTCATGGTAAAAAGGTAAAGGAAGCCATGAGTGCTCATATTCTAAATCTGATAAGGGTCAATACTGCCATTTGAGAATAAGAATAGAGGCCTTTGTGTTACAATTTCTTAAATTAGAATTTGTGTGTAGAATATGAATTTGGTTTGTGTGTTGTATTTTTAGTGTATGTATGAGTTCTGTTGGTAAAAAAAAAAAAAAAGAGAATTTAGTAACAGTGCTGACAGGAATGGTGGCTTACTGTGATTGTCTTTTTGAAACTACTGCATTACAGATAGTCACAAACATCTTGATTGCCAATTTTCTTGTGGCAGGTTTTAATTTGCGTTCTTCAAATCAAATGCTTAGGAGTATTATTCAAGATAAAAGTGTAAGGCTAGGTGTGGCAGGCAGACCTCTGAGCTTGACGCCAGCCTGAAAGACTTTCAGGCCAGACAGGAATACAGTGAGACTGTGTGTCTGTGTGTTGGGGTTGGGGTGGAGGCTATAAACAATGCTTACATTTAATGCTTACATTAAAAATGGTAAGTTTGAACAGTCCCATGGATGACTGCATCTTTCGTGCTACTAATGGGTAGACCTATATGTAATTCATAATGTATTAAATGTATGTGGCTTGTAGATCTTAAAAGCTTAAAGATGCTTAAAACCAGAGGCCTCCTTTGGTCAGAGAGTGTAATAATGAACCTGGTGCTCACTTGAACCTTCCTTAAGCTTTAAAAATAAAAATTTTTCCTTTGTCTTTATCAATAAATCAGTATTTCAATAATCTTAACCCTCAGACCACTTTTTATTAAACCATTGTTTTCTCACCTATCTGCTCCATGCTTTTATTCATGTCTTAATAAGTCCTTGGCTTGCTTTTCTGTGTTTCTTTGTGCTTCATTCCTTCAGAATATTTTTTTTTCTGCTGTATTGCACACTCTGAACTGAGGCTGTAGGTGATCAGATAGAGCTTGACAGCCACTGTCATGGTTTTGCCCTGTGAACTTCTCCTGTAGAGGACTGATTAGTTTCATGAACTGATTTGGACACCATCTCCATAGAGAATTACTAGCTTTGGGGTGGGTCCTGTGACCCTTAGTTCACTTACCTTTGGTAATTACTGCATGTTTAATTCCAGCACTCGGGAGGCAGAGTTTCAGGCCAGGCTGGTCTACATATTGAGTCCCTATCTCAAAAACAAACCAAAAAAATCCGTCTGAAAGTTGTGATATGTAACACCCAAGAAATATTCTGTTTATTAATACATCTGAAGTAGTGGTTAGAAGTTAACCTCTTCAGTTCTAGGGTGGCTTTGCTCTCTATTCTGACAGCCATTCACTTACTTCTGAATAACATTTACCAGGGCACCTTAGAGACAGCTCAACAGCTCCCACTGGACTTTATCCACAGGGTAGCATCACTGTCAACTGAATGAAAACATGGTACTGCCTTTTCTTGTTAATGTCAGCTGATCTTGGCTAAGTAGATGGGTAGAATTTCAACCCCAAATGTCATGGTTAACAGAGAAGGAACAAGTTGAGTATATACTTTAAAAATTTAGTTCTGGCCAATGTGGTGGTACACACCTTTGATTCCAGCACTCAGGCAGAAGCAGGCAAAGCTCCAAGTTCCAGGCCAGACAGGAATACAAAGTGAGACCATGCATTAAAAAACAAATTTAAAAAAAATCTTAGCTCTGCGCAAGGTTTTTTTCTTAGAAATATCAATCTGCCCTGCTAGTCAGGTAATTCAGATCCTCACAGGCACTGATGTAGCAAATGTTGTATTTTCTAGATTGAAAGATGGTTTTAAAAATGGTTTGTTAATTGCTATTTCCATTTTCTAATCCTTTTTCCTTAGAAACCCACAATCTGCCAAAGCAACCTCCACTTGCCCTAGCAATGGGACAGGCCACACAATGTCTAGGACTGATGGCTCGATCAGGAATTGGATCCTGTGCATTTGCCACAGTGGAAGACTACCTACATTAGCTATGCACTTCAGGAGCTCCCACTTACATTGTGGCAAATAGTCAACATGGAAGTAGACCGGCTCTGCTGATTTGAAATTTAGATTTTTTTAATTATGTACTGGGGACAGGTTTTTGTCGCTTTACATTGCTTCCTAGTTTACAGCATGATGCAAATGATTTTCTAACTTAGTGTTAGGAGAAAATATTTTCCATCTTTTAACCTCTTAGTTGTCTAAGAGTTAAATATTACTGAATTTCAGACGTTCAAATTGATCATCAGAAATCCTTTAAAACAATTACCTAAAAGAAACCAAAAATCCTGCCTTCTTTGTTGGGGGGAGAAGGGGGGAGGAAATGGAACAAGTTGTGTTTGTGTTAGCATGTGGGTGATGTAAACTACAAATTGGGAGCTGTTCCGACCCCCTGCTCCTGTGTAAGCATTCAATCAGTGTAACTTGCAAAATGCATAAACATCCGACAGTTTGAATTTAATAGTGTTGATGGAAGAAATCATTTTTAATGTGTACTGTAAAACTTGAAATACTCAGGAGCTGAGTGAGTACGTTTGTTGCTACTTACAATCCCGACCTGTTAGTCCCAGTAGTTTTGTTTTAACATGGTCTTTTTCAACTTTGTTTCCTGTTTAACTACAGATGACTTCTGTTGTAGACTCACAAGTTTAACTGTTGTATTATAACAGTATTACATGTCAACAGTGTGGTTATGACCTTTATTTATATAAAAACCAAATATTTAGTCAATTTACCGTGTCTTAATTTAATCTTTGTACACCTTCCATTTTTAAGTGCTTAAATGAGTACTATATTGCAATAAAAATGTAGTGATATAATTAACCAGCCATTAAAAATTTACTTCTACAGATATTAGTGTCAATTGAATTTATGTATTAGGTTCTCATATACTTTTTAGAGCAAATAATAGCAATGATTCTTACTATCAGCCCAAGTTAACAGTCTAACACTGCCTTTGGGTGACTGTATTAGTCAAACCTGATACTGTATGTGAAAAGAAAAGTAAGAATTTAACAGGTACTGTAACTGCAAACCTCCAAACTAGTTAATAAAATCTGAAAAGCTGTTCCAGGGCTGGCAAGATGGCTCAGCAAGTAAAGGCCCTTGCTGCCAAGTCTGATGACTTGAATAAAATTTGACTTCTGACACACCATGCATGTATGCACGCACATACCTTTTCTTTAAAGAACAAAACCATCCCCTGTCCCCCGTCTCCCCCCCCCCCAATTATTTCAGATTAATTTAGTCCATTGCTAGACAAAGGTGCTGGCTGACATTTAAGTCTTCCCCCAACAGACATTTACTTACTCTTGGGATTTTTTCCCCCATGCTTTTTTGTTTTGTTTTGGGTTTGTTTGTTTTTCATGACAGGTTTTCTCTGTGTAGCTTTGGAGCCTGTCCTGGAACTCACTCTGTAGACCAGGCCTGCCTCTGCCTCCCAAGTACTGGGACTAAAGGCATGCGCCGCCGCCGCCACTCGGCTTCCCCCCATGCTTTTTAACAGTGGCTTCTTACCCCCTGACAGCAGAAACCATATCAATAATACCAGAATAGATTTTCAAGCTGTACTGAAGACTTCACAGATGGTCTCTTTATCTTCTTGTGCCCACACAAGGATGAAAATTCCTTTCTAACTACTTTTTCCTCCAGGACAATAAAAGTATTTCAGAAAGAAATGTAGCCAGCTGTTTTCCAAGACAAAAAGGTTTATGGTTTTTATAACGATCCTTTACAATGATTTATGAATAACTAGATTTTGAGAAATCAGTCCTTTCTACACCAAATAATCTTAAATTGTATACATACAAAGTACAGGTTCTTCATTTAGCTTTATTTCAATTCACTTATAACTTTTCTTTTTCATCTTTCTGGCCATCCACCGTTTTTTAAACCTCTTGGCATTTTGTTGTTTCTGAGCACCTATAAGAGAACAACAGAAAGCTTCATGTGAGTGAATATTCCATAGGTATTAGTTAAAACCCTGGGAAACAAAAAATTCAGCTTCTTGTTTGAGAGTGTAGTTTACATAAATGGATACACTTTCTATAAAAGTAGGTCTTTCAATTTATAATTATGACCCCTCTCCTTCCAAAAACACTTCCTTTGTACAATTACTAGAGTAAAGAGCAGATGCTCCATCTTACCCCAAGTGCCGTTGAGAAACTGGGCTGCGGCCCTTTTCACTGGTAGCCTCTTGTTGTTCAGTGACAGGAACTTGTTTACTAAAGAGAAGAAATTACTTATCATTTCTCGGTCATTGTGAGAGCGAGACAGACAGACAGACAGACATGGTCCATAAGAAAATTACCAGTAGTCCTCTTGGATTCTGAACCATATAAACAATTGTGGATGAAGTGTTTGGCTGCTTCTTGCCTTGAATCTCTCAGGTCTTGATCTTTTAGCCTTACAGCCAAGTAGCTTTTGGTCTGACTGGTGATCAATACAAAAGGTCAGAATGAGTTAGAGGGCACATGCTGACTCTCCTATGTGGCTCTATGTGTGTACGTACACACGCATGTGGTATGGGGAGTCAGCCCAGACTGTCCCACTAAACACTACCATTCAGCTGCATCCTTAACCCACCTTTTTTTTTGGGGGGGGGGGGGATGAGAACTGTCAAACCCAGGGCCTCACGAAGTACTCTACTCTATTACTCCCAGTCCAACACGACTTCAAACAGTCATTTTGTTCTTGCTCATCCACTGTCTTTAAGTGATTGTATGTGTTACACAATACTGCTAAATCATGTGCTGTTTTATAAGAAAAAGAAATGCATTAACACATTTTAAGGCTGCAAGTAAATGTTACTATCAAAACTGGTATTTTTCTACAAATAACCCAATCAGATACACTACTACCTCCCCCTCATCCCAGTGGGAAAACAACAAAACTCATTACCTGACAGACTGCACTTTTTGTATTTTAACTTTCTTGGAGTTTCTTCCTTTTGCAATGTGTTCGCTTTTCTTTTTCAAATTAACTGAAAAATTAAGATCCACTTTGTGAACAGTATTTATATAAATTAACACTTAATGGCGCTCACTTCATGTAAGTGCAGGTTTTATTTGGAAGAAAATAATGGGGAATGGGCTTGAGCCAACTTTGGCCAGGCCTAAGGGCCTCAAGCAGCCAAGATTACCTGCAAATGACCTCACCCTTACACGAAAAGTTACTTGAATGAGAACAATCCATACCTTTTACATTTCCTGGTGAGTTCTTTATGCTGTGGAAAAAGAACAAAAGCTCAAAATGGCAGGCAGTAAAAAATACTCAAAACAAGTAACATTAAGATCCCTTCCAGCTTTTATGACCACTACTCCTAACTTTGATTCATCATGCCATACAGCACTGCCACCAACTCAGTAACTACACAGCATGGAGTGTCTTCTCAGAAGAATTTAAATCTGAGCACTGTTAGTAGACATCCAAAGAGTATGCTCAATGTTCTGAAAAACTCAGGAACTGTTTGTATAACTTAGCTTATCTCAACAATGAGAAATAACAGATTATTCAACAGTTTGGGTACGGTACTGGAGACAAGAGACAGGCTCCAGACAACTATCAAATGACTAAACTGCAACAGAGATGAGGTACAGATGCAGCCATACAGATCACACAGGAGAAAGTGATAGGGGCGAGTGAGAAGGGATGACATGGAACTTGGTTACGAAAGACAGGACCTCACCAAATACCTGCTTACATGCCTCATGGAACTCAAGATCGGAACACGGAAGGACAGCCACGTATTGTTGTGGTAAAAATGATTTCACAGTTTACACTAAGGCCGGGTATGGTGGTGTACACCTTTAATCCCAGCACTGGGAGGCAGGCAAATCTGAGTTTGAGGACAGCCTGATCTACAGGTGGAGTTAGAGGACAGTCAGGACGACACAGAGAAACGGTATCTAGAAAAACAAAAAGAATGCACCAAGGAGTGCCAAGAGGTAGAGGAGTAAGTTTCAGTAGGACTTATTTGATGGAAATAAAGACAAATGTAACTAAAGCTTTGGCTTTAGTTTTAAGCACAGACCACAGGGCAAAGCTACTAAATGAAATGGGGATGAGGAAGGGTGGGAGCAGGTAAAACCAGCTTCAAACAAGTTTGGATTTTAGGAGCCTGTGGTTAAGTGCCTGCCACACTACTAAATGGTAAGCTTAAGTCACCGACCACTACCCTGCCCCTGGACAGGTGCTGGGCAAAGTTTACTTGATAGACTGGGATCAGGAACTCCAAAACCACTGTAGCTTTTAAGTTTGGGCAAATTTCTTCAGTTATAGACAAATCAAAGATGGCTTTACATAAATAGAAGCCCTGTTACTTACTCAGCCTCCGAAGCAGCAGTTAGTTGCTCCAAAACAGCATCTGGAAGCAGCTTTCTTTTCTTTCAGAAGAAAGGCATGAAGACAAGTTAAAAGTGATGTACAGGTATTTCTGGAGTTGCTTCTAAAAAGTTACTCATTTCAAACAGCCCTGCATCCGGGCCAACACTGCCCTGCTATACTACTAAGCCGTCAGAAAGACGGCTTACAAAGTCCAGAACAGCCTCTGTAACTGTGCCCACATTAGCTCAACGTTCAAGTGTCCCTGTGACTAGAAAGGTATCTGTCATGGCCACTTGAAGTCAGGTCTCTGGGATGTGAAATAACTAATCGGTACGTGCCATTTTACTTTACAAATCACATTTTCAGAGCCCTAAGTTTAAGACCCCACTAGCTCTGGAAGCCCAAAAGACCAAAGCGTCAAGGCCAGGTGAGGTCATCTTCCACTCTTTATAGGGCAGTCGCCACGAAGCATCAGGAACCCCGCTCCAACATCCTTCAATTCCCCAAGAGCCTTGAGCGAGGGAACTCTAGCCCCGGCCGTGGTTTCAAAGCCACACGTCCCGCCCCAACCTTCTGTTCGATGAACAGTTCCTCGCGCCGCTTCCTCTTCTCTTTCAGCAGCGTTTTATCCCTGGAAGAAAAGGGTTCAAGTGAGCGGGAGACGAGCCCGGGGAGTCGCGAGGCGCCCCGGTCCCGCGGCCGGCGCCGCACCTCCGTGCACTCTCGCGCACGCGCAGCTCCTCCTCCCTCGCTTCCGCCTGAGCGCTGGCGAAAGTCAGCTCCTCCGGGGCTTCGTCGTCACCGTCCTCGTCCTCGTCCAGCGGCTCGGCGGCAGCGCCGCTGCTGGGCTGCCCGAGGAGCAGCCCGTGCTCCGCCTCCTCCTCCTCCGAGGCCGCCTGGTCCTCGTCCACCATCGCCTCCGCCGGCGCGGGGACACGCGACGGACGCGGCCGCAGCTGCACCATGACCAACGGGAAGACGGCAGTCTGACCCTTGGCCCGGAAGCAGCCGCTCGCCGTGCGCGCCGTGCGCGCCGCGCGCTTGCCGCGCCCCCTGTTGGTCGGGAGGCCGCAAGGAAGCACCTAGGCGCGTGCGCGGAAGGAGGGCGGGGCTCCCCGCGGTGGTTGTGACTGGGTAGACAGTCCAGGTAGGAAGGGACAGAACATCTCATTGCTCAGTGTTCCCAGGTTGGTCTGATGTATGGAACAGCGGCAAGAGCGAAATAAGACTTAATGACCATCATTGCTGTGGGATGCATCTCTGTATTCTGGGCATACACGGCCCAGTGACCTCTGTCTCTTACCCATTATGTAATCCGGAATGATTCTTCATGCCCTATTCAAGCCGTGCATTTCAATGAGCTGTCCTCTGATATGTGTTCCTCCACGTAGAACTGTTGACGCTTCCAACCTCCCACCCAGGCTAAGGATGGCAACATCCACACCATGGCCACTCTGGCATGTCTAGCTACACTGTTCTCTAAACCTTGCACACGTTTCTGTCACAGTTCCACACTCTGTAATCAGTTCGCATGCCGGTTGCTTCAGTTATTCTGAAATCATTGGTTTCTAATGTCTGTCATACGGTATATGTTCAACAAATGGTTAGTTACATCATATATACTTTTTACTTCTAAATCTTATTTTATCTTCTTATTTGGATGCAATTTCCAGTTTAAAAACAAAAGCAAGTGTGGACAAAACAAACAAACAAACAAAAACCAAAACTGCTGGAGAAGAGGTAGGCAGAGGGGAAGGGAGCCTGGGAGTTGGATGAGGGTGGGGGTCTCTGAAACCTCTGGGCCTTGGTCAGATAGAAAATACAAATGAAAACAATTCTCAGAGTCAGGCACAGTAACACATGCCTGAAATCCTAGCACTCAGCAAGATGAAGCAAGAAAATCCTAAATTCCAAGGCAGCCTGAGCTAAAGTAAAACCATATCTCAAGGAAACAAAACAAACATTTGCATCAGTGTGCTGATCCCTACCATAACTAACATTAAGAAAATGGAAACAGTTAAGCTGAAAGCCCAATGACAAACCTATTGAAAGCACATAATGGTACTGTGTGTACAAAACCCACATTGGAAGTATCACGAGGGCTGGAGAGATGGCTCAGCAGTTAAGAGAACTTGCTGCTTTTGCAGAGGACCTAAATTTGGATCCCAGAACCTGTGTCAAGCAGCTCATAACCATCTGTAACTCTAGCTCCAGGGGCTCCAACACCTCTGGGCCCTACAGTACACATACCCACTGCAGACACACACACTCACACATACTTTTCAAAAAAGGGTATCACTGAAGTTATTACCATCCCCTAGCTGTACCGCCTTTGGTCCACCCATCTAAAGTATGACTCTGGAGGTGCCTGACTAGTTCTCCAGACTCCCAGTAGGTGGGAGAAACTATCTTCTTGACATTTAGGGACCTTTAGGATTTGTTACAAATGACTGTCACATATGGCACACATAACTGTACTTTGTTGCCAGTGGTAAGTCATAGCGATTGTCAATTTGATTGTTTAATAAACATCTGTGGGGAGCCATGAAGTTCTGAGTGAATGTGTATTGTTGACATGGGCGTAGCCTTGACAATGTCAAGGGCCCCAATGCCTCAGACCCATGGGAATGGCAAAGCCTTCCCTGGGTCAGGTTCTCAGAAATGGCAAAGTCTTCCTGTGCCCATGTTGACTGTGTGCAAAAAGGGGCCACCACCACTCCCCCCTCCTGGGTGACTGCAACCTGAGACTGCCCCCCTACAGAGACCTCCCACGGAGTCAGCTGAATCCTTGCTCCTGCTGCACACAGGACACTTGCTGAGCTTCCAGGTTGCATAGACGGTGCCCCCATCAGAGTGACACAACCAACCCGACCCCAGCTTTTCTGCGTGTTTCTGTCATCTGTCCCTCGTCTGTCATTTCTTCATTTCCGAGCTGCTCCCACCAGGTTTCAGCACCCAGCCATGCAGCACTCACCAGATGCATTAATGAGGCACACCTTCGGGTGTGTCTGTAGGGAGTTCCCGAGAGGATTAACTGAGGAAGAAATCCCCTGAGTGTGAGGAGCAGACTGTGTACAAAGGAGAAAAAGAAAACGAATGGAGTCCTGGAGTCCCTTTCTCTGCTTTCTGGGCCCCATGGACCAAGTCATTCCCTCTACCATGTCTTCCCTGTTATGCTACATCCCTTTGATCTGTGAGTCAGATTAGACCTTTCATCCTTTAAATAATTTTTGTCAGGTATTTTGATCACAGCCATGAGAAAGGTAACTATTGACTGAAATCAATGGAATTCTGGGAGGGGCTGAGGTGAGGCAGGCCAGACACATAGTTACCTGGGGAACGACTGGAGCTGAGGGAGAGCGTTCTGTATGTCCTTTATCCTCTTCACTAGTGGCCACGCTCCTCTCTAGGCCTCTCATCCCTGCCATAGTTCAGGTCCAGTGCTGCATCAGCAGGTGGGGCTCAAAGACAGTGCAGCATTCTTGCTTTTATATTCAAGATAGAAAGTTCATTTTCAGGGTCCCATGGAGCTCGTAGACCAGTAGAGACCACATGCTCCCTCATTTATGACACTAAGCAATGATGAAGACCAGCGAGATGGTGTTCTCCTTCATTTAAGACCACCCATTGCTCTCGTCCCTCAGAGGCAGCTCATCTGCTTCGTCCAGGATCTGCCTTGTCTTTTTCTCATGCTGACGTTTCTACTTGGTTATTCCTTTTCTCTCCTTGCATGAGCTCCTGCTGGAAGTTATTCCATGTTCTTTAAGGTGAGGCACCCAAATGAGGTAAATACCGAAAAGGAAAAGAAGCCCCCAACAAAGACAGCTCTTGGAGGAACCTCCGTACACAATAAGTATCAACTATAAAGGATGGTTTCATTTCCGCAAAAAAAATTGTGCAAAAAAATAGATAAATACTAGGATTTAACTTTTAGTGTTTTAATTCTCTATTTCTATCTTTGCCTAAGATGCAAACAATTAGGAATGATCACCTTCTTCTCAAGCAGTTTAATTACAGATGTTTCCCTCCCAGTAACTGACCAAGAACAGCAAATCCCAAATACTCATATTTCAGTTGAAATCGGATGATATGGGAGAACTTGACAGCCTGTCCACTCCCTCTCGGGCCCCCCCCCCCCCCCCCCCCCCCCCCCCCCCCCCCCCCCCCGAGAAAATACATTTGCTGTTGGTGAAGCCCGATCACTTCACAGACGGACTGTCCTCTAGGGACACGAAGGGTGTTTTTAGACTTTCCAAAGTTCAGTTCACCAGCCACAGAACCACCTCTCCTGCTGGTGCCCTGGTTATGTGCGACACGATCTTCTCCTCTTTGCACAGGGTAATTAAGAAATCCTTTCAGTTTCATGAGGAGCAAGGGCTTCCGGAAGAGTTGTCCCACAGGGTCCTGAAAAATGAAACCTAAACAGAAGGAGCAATAGAGCAGAATTGGGAGATACAAGTTAACAAAAGGACGCACAACTGCAGCTGATAACATACAACTAATGGTGACAAATTTTTAAGGGATTTGTTTGATTGTTTGTTTTTGTTTTTGTTTTTGTTTTTGTTTTTGTTTTTAAACAGGGTTTCTCTGTGTAGTTTTGGTGTCTGTCCTGGATCTTGCTCTGTAGACCAGGCTGGCCTTGAACTTACAGAGATCCGCCTGACTCTGCCTACCAGTGCTGGGATTAAAGGTGTGCACCACCACCACCACCACCACCACCACCACCACCACCACCACCACCACCACCACCACCACCTCCCAGCAAGGGACTTTTTTTGTTGGTGTTGGACAGGGTCTCACTATGTAACCCTGACTGGCCTGGAACCTGCCATGTACACCAAACTAGCATTGAACTCACAGAGATCAGCCAGTTGCTACCTCTCAAGGGCTAGGATTAAAGGTGTGTGCTGTCAAACCTGGTTTTCCTGGACTTCTTTTATCCAGGTTCTGACAATACTAAATGTAACACATCTCAGACAACTGAAAAAGTCTGTATGCTGTAAGACTTTTATTCTGACAGATGGAGGAGGCATGATTGCTGTGTGTTTTACCTTTATAAAGCCAAATTCATAAGTGAAATTATATATGTATCCATATTTATATATATGAAGACACAAATGGATGGAAAGATATCCCATGTTCATGGATTTGAAGAAAAGAATTAACATTGTTAAAAATATCTATACTATAATCCTTATTGCAATTCCAATGTCATTTTCCATGATAGATATAGATAAAACAATAGATGCATATACAAACTTCAATAACTGATAAACTCATGAGCATAGTAAACAAAACCAGAGCCTCTCCAGTAAATGATCTCCTCACAATGTAGTACAAAGTGTCTGAAATTATAATAGCATGATACAGGCATAAAGATAGACACATCAGCCAGCATTACAGAGTAAAGTACAGAAAAAAAATCTATAAGTCTGTGGTCAGCTGACTTCACAAACCTGCCAGTGGCACAATGGGGAAAGGGAGGTCTTTAATAAATGGGGTTGGTAAATTACATAGCCACATGAGGAGAAATGAAATTGGACCATCGTCTCATATAATACACAAAAAGAAATTCAAAACTATGAGAAGGAAATAAGGGGGCTGGGGACTACACAACACTGGTCAAGGTAACAGATTTTTAGATTTGATTCTCAAAGCACAGGCCACAACAGCAAGAGAAGACAAATGTGAGTATATAAAATTAAAATCAGTTTGGAGAATAGCTCAGTGGTTGGACTCTGTGCTGTGCTACCCTAGGCTACATTCCTGTCATTGGAAGCAGAGTAAGTAACCACTAGAACATGATGTGGGCTGTATTTTAGATGGACTTGGTGAGCATGCCTATAATCCCAGTACTTAAGAGGTTAAGAGCGGGTGGTGGTGGGGCACGCCTTTAATCCCAGCATTCGGGAGGCAGAGCCAGGCAGATCTCTGTGAGTTCGAGGCTAGTCTGGTCTACAGAGCGAGATCCAGGATAGGCATCAAAGAAACCATGTATCAAAAAAAAATAAAAATAAAATAAAAAAGGTTAAGGCAGGAGAATAATGAGTTTGAGGCCAGCCTAAGCTATGTATTAAATTAAAGTGCTGGAGATCTGTCTTAGATTTAGAGAGCTTATCTAGCATGCTCTGAGTTCAACCTCCAGCATTACAAAATAAAATAGAAAATAAATTGGGGGGGGGGCACTAGAGAGATGACTCTGTAGCTAAGAGCATGTACTGCTCTTGCAGAGGATTAAGGTTTGGTTGCCAGCACCCACATCTTGTAGCTCACAACAGTCTCTAACTCCAGCTCCAAGAGATCCAAAACCTCTGGCTTCCACAGACATCTGCACTTGTGTACACATACCTCCACACAGTCACACAGACATATATATATATATATGGAGAGAGAGAGAGAGAGAGAGAGAGAGAGAGAGAGAGAGAGAGAGAGATCCTGTCAAGAATCCACTGGCCATTTGTTAAAGTATAAACAGCTACTGCCAGCTGTAAATCTGATTCAGGATGCCTGGGTGTTAGCTTTGTTTTATTCATAAGAGCTAGGAAAGATTAAAGGACCACCAGGAAAATTATGGGAATAAGGAAAGGTGAGGTCCTGTTAGCAGACCCCATCTCAAATGGAAGGCCTAGGTGTTAACAAATATAGCAAATAAATAAAGCTAATGAGTATTCATTTTTGCTTGAAATATATTATATATATATATATATATATGTTATATATATAAAATTCAAGGCATGTGTCCTTTTTCTTTAGATCTCCCTTAAGTAAACTTTTAGGTTAAGAGTTCAGTAGGGGCCCAGCTACACAGGTAAAGAAGGCTTTGTTCCCTGCTGGACGGCACAGCCAGGTGAGAATTCAACTTCCCCATCCATCAAATGTGGCCACTGTGACTGAGAAGCAAGGGCTCTTCCAACCTCTGATAAAGGACATCACTACCTACATAGTTCTCAGGCTAATTCCCCAGGTGTCTAGCCTCCTCCAGTAATTGTATTCAGCATCAAGTACCTTCCCTCCCACATATCAGTGAATTACTTTATTACCCCTAATTGCCTCTCCTGGAACTCCCCCCACTGACCAGTCCCTGCAGCCAGGGGGACTCCTTAGAGGTCCTCACACTGCCCAGCTGTGCGGCTACATTGGGCCTTTGTATCAGGTAGTCCTCGAATCTGGAAAGGTCTTCTGTCAGCATGCTCTTTTACCTCTTGAGGCTTCCCTTTGGGACCCCACCAAATCCTGAGGTCTGTCTGCCCCCCACCCGATTACACCTAGGCTCTTCTCACTGCCTCCGCACCTCAAACGCTGGCTGAGGTGCCCACTGTGGATACTGCGTGCCGCAGCCTCGGCCGCTAGCATCTGATCTTCACAGGGTAGGTTTTGGTCTTGGTCACTGACCTAGCCTATCCTTAGGACTGTGGCCAGGTCGGCACACTGTGCACTTCAGCGAAACTCTGAAGATTGGACAACATGGTAGCTGAGAGGACTGCTGGGTCCAAGTGCTGAAAGGCCCCAGACAGAGCCATGATGCGCTCGCACCCCATCTCTGTTTCAGCCACGTACAAACCCTGGCATTGCAAGGACTCTTGAGGTTCACTCAGTCAAAACACTGAGGTAATCAGAAAATGCCTCACATTTCCTGTAAGAGCGATCAGGCAGGAAAGCTATCTGGATGTGGAAATGGTACCTCTCACCTACAGGTAAAGGCTGTGGCCACACCTACTTGAAAATCTACAAATGCAAGCATAAAGTCTAGAGAAGAATGTAAAGTGCCAATGTGAAAAGTGAAAGTTTTATGGAAACTCCCATGTACCGAAGAACCACAGCCACCCAGCCTGTAGTTAACGGTATTTTGTTCTTTCATAAAAGTCAACTACAAACCAAACAAGAAACCACAACCTCCCCCTCTTTGTCCTCCTTCCTTCTCTCCTCCTCCACAAAATCAGAACTGACAGTCTATTGGGATGACATCTCCAAGCCTGCGCTCCACCCCCCCCAAACACCCCCCCCCCCCCCCCCCCCCCCCCCCCCCCCCCCCCCCCCCCCCCCCCCCCCCCCCCCACCCCACCCCACCCCACCCCCGTCACCCAGCTTTGGTCGTCCCTCCCCATACCTGAATCTGTTGGTGGCCGGGGTGGTTTCCATGTTAAACTCAGCCACTGGGACTCCCCTGGCAGCCACCTGAGGGGCAAACATGGCAGCGGGGTAGACCACAGAGGATGTTCCCACCTACAAAGCAAGCAGACGGAGTGCAGTGGGTGAGAAGCGCAAAGGGAGCTTTACTCAGGCAGGGATGTGGAGGGAGGCATGCGGGAAGCCTAGCGACAGAAAATGTGGGACAGAGGCGAATAAAAGGTGTGACTCTGTTCGGCCAGTCACTGGAAGTGGGGAAGAACCATGTGACCCAAAAAGACAGTCACACGAGTAGACAGAGAAGCAAGGGAGTGACCCAAAGGACATGACTGGGGGTCCCTTCTGTCCCGGTCTTTGAACTTGTGCCAACGATCCATGTTGTTTTTCTAAGGTAGGAAATAATCACTGTTACCGTTTTTTGACGTGCACACCACCCTTCACAGAAATGGAAAGGCCACCACACACACGGTAAACCAGGTTTTCTCACTAACACCACTGTGACCACAGAGGCTGCACTCAACATGGGATGTACACAGTAAATACAGAATGGAAATAGACCCACCACACAGTGCCTCTGCTTTTAAAGACATATTAGAGAAACTGTGGGCTCTGCATGCTCTTTCTAGTTAATTCCACCTTTAGAGAATGTGTCCTAAGGAAATTGCTTGAGGAACATGCTGAGATTCCCATCTACATGTATTCATACAACACTGCTTCAAATACCAAAATTTGAAACAGCCTAAGTTGGACCTAGAGTACAGACCTGTAATCCTAGCGTGTGGGAGGTAGAGGCAGGAGGATGAAGAATTTACATCTGGCTTTGGCTGTACAGTGATATGATACCCTCCAGGGCCACGTGAGATGCTATTCAAAAAACAACCTGAAACAACCCAAATGTCCTGAAATAGAGGATTTTCTCACTATATCATGTGTGTGCTAGAAAGTCATACAGCAAACTAAAAGATGCAACAGCTTTGGATATGTTGACATGGAATATGCCAATTGAATCCTTAAATGAATAAAACAGTCTCAAGGCAGAATGTGTATCGTGTGTATTTGGTGTATATACATCTACACAAGGAAGGAAGTGGCCAACTCTTTTGTGGAAAGAGCCAAAGGTAAAATCGTTAGGCTCTGTAGGCCATCCATCCACTCTCTGCCAAAAGGACTCAACTCCTGGTCTAGAAGAAAGCATCAAAATACTACGAGTGATTATTTCCAGATGCTATAATGTGGTGAGCTCTAATTTCCTTCTTATGCTTTGGCTCTTTCGTATTTTATCAATGACATTTAATAATGAGCATACATTCTATTTAAAATCTAGGCTGGGGATGGCAAGATGGTCCAGCAGGTAAAGGAGCTTGCTGAAAAAGTCTGGTGACTTTTTGTTTGTCCTAGAACCCATGTAAAGGCAGAAGGAGAGAACTGACTCTACAATGTTATCCTCTGACCTCCATACATGCATGTGGCACATTCACACACAAACATCACGCATACACATATGATAGATAAATAAAATCTGATGCTTCCACAATGGCGTTATGATAATATGTTACATCTCTAAATTTATACTGCTCTTAAAAAGCATGCTCCTTTTGTTATTTTGTGGGGGAAGAGAGGCTTTTAAAGGTGCTCAGAACATGGTTGTGCATAATTTCATATTTTAAGATCAGTTCTTGGAGCTGGAGAGATGGTTCAGTGGTTAAGAACAGTTGCTGCTCTGCCAGAGGACCCAGATTTAGTTCCCAGAACACATGCCAGGTGACTCACTACTATTTGTAACGCCAGGAGATCCAAAGCCTCTGGCCTCTGAGGACACTGAGCTCACATGCACATACCCACATGCAGATACACACACCTAAACATATTTAAAAATAATAAAACCAATCTTTCTAAAAGATTGGCTCTTATTTATTGCTTCTTGGTTTTTTTTCTGCAGGTCGCTTTGAGACTTCCACACACATCTGTGGAATATTCCTTTACACTGTGTGACTATGTCACTGTGATTGGTTTAATACAGAAGCTGACTGGTCAATAGCTGGACAGGTAGAGGTTAGGCGGGACTTGCAGACAAAAAGAGAGTGTGAAAGAGAAGAAGGGAGGAGTCTCAGAAGCACCAGAAGACGAGGAGAGAAGATGAACTTGCATAGTGAGAAAAGGTACCAAGCCACATGGCAGAGCATAGATGAGAAATATAGGTTAATGTAAAATGTAAGAGTTAGCCAATAACAAGCCTGAGCTTTTGGCCAAGCATTTATAATTAATACTAAGTCTCTGTGTGGTTATTTGGTAACTGGTTGGCAGGAAAGAAAAGTCCACATACACACATCTTTCAGGAGAGGGAGAAGGGGAAAAGGAGGAAGAGGAAGTGGAAGGATAAGGAGGAAGGGAGGAAGATGGCAACCAGAAGACACTCCACCCCAGTCTTTCCAGGGCCTGGAGACTAGAGACCAGCGTGACCTACCACTAGACACAGGTCACAGAGAGCCAGTTCCCTGTCCACCTCCTCCAGAACAGCAGGATCCAGGTTTTCTCCAAACCACACCACATGAGGTCGCAGCAAGCCACCGCATCCTGCCTCCTCACACCTGGAAGAAAGTCAACCTTAAATCATCTCTAACTGCCTGGTTAGCTCGGTTGGTAGAGCATGAGACTCTTAATCCCAGGATGGTGGGTTCAGGTCCCACGTTGGTGCTAGATGTAACATGAAATCTAATAGGTCTTTTAATAAAAAATAAAATAAAATAAAAAAACAACAACCCTGGAGCCAGATATTGGGGTAGATGCTGAAAGATCAGAGAGACAAAGGAACAAGCCACTGCCACATCTTACCTCTAGGACTCCACAGCCTGAAAAGGCTTTAGTTCCTGTCTCCTCATGCCTTATGTACCTTTCTCTGCCCAGCCATCACTTCCTTCCTAGTGCTGAGATTAAAGGTGTGTGCTTCCCAAATACTGGGATTAAAGGCATGGAGATCTCAAGTGCTGGGATTAAAAGCATGTGATTCCCAAGTATTGGGATTAAAGGTGTGTGCCACTACTGCCTGGCTTCTATGTTTAATCTAGTGGCTTGTTCTGTCCTCTGATCTTAAGGCAAATTTTATTAGGGTACACAAAATATCACCACAGGGCAGGACTGCCCGGGATCGCAGGAAAGCAAGGCTGCCATTCAGGCCAGGAGATGGGAACTTGTCCTGGAGTGAGTTCCAGGACAGCCAGAGTTACACAGAGAAACCTTGTTGGGACAGATTTCTCCTTTCACACCCTATTACCTCTAGGTAATATAGTCTAGGTTTATGTTCTAAAATCTTCTACCTTCTGTATCGGCTTCATCTTATTAATGTCCTACTCAGGAAACTTCTAGAATCCCCTAATCTTTTCAGATTGAAACTTCAGAGTTTAGTCATGAAAAGCCTCATTTTAAGAAATGAAAAAGAAAAAAATGAAAAGGATCTGTGGTTAAAATAAACCAAAGAAGTATGAATATAGCATAACCATTTTTCAGAAAGCACTGACTCGGGGCTGCAGCGGTGGCTCAGTGGTGAAGAGCGCACTGCTCCTGCAAAAGACCCACGCTAGTCCGGTGGCTCACAACCGTCCTTGACTCAAGCTCAAGGGACTCCAAACGTCTCTGACCTCCAAGTACACTGCATTCAAGGGTACACACCCGAATTGGGGGGGAGGGGGCGAGGCAGGAAGATCACTTGAGCCTAGGAGTTTGGACTCAGAGGTCAGGGATGATTGCTGCATCTATACATTTAAAGGTCATCATACACACACACATACACACACACCACAAAATTAAGATTTTGATTTTCTTTTCTGCACTCTTGAACACCAGCTATACATCAGGTTTTTATTTACCTGGGAAGTTTGTCAACTGGGATCCTGGCATCTTGAGTCTCTGGTTCTGGAGCCCTGAAGTCAAGAGTGTGAAGAGAATGAATACCCGTGGTAAAATCAAAGAAAAAAGGAAGGATGTGACATAGTCATTTGTGTCTTACCTGGCAGTGTATGGTACAAAACTTGCTCATGCATGCTAACTTACTTATAAGGTTCACAGAAGCATGGACCCTGAATACTGACTATTGGTTTTGCTCAAAGAGGGAATTTGTGTAGGGGAGAGTCTCCGTGGGGTGGTTGATGCTTCTCCAATGAAATTATGTTAGTATTTTACATCTGTAAGTTTTTACTGCTCTGAAATGGTTCAGAATTTTTTCTCAGTAGTTTGAATTGACCTCTAAAACTTTCCTAATTATAACAATAATACACATTCATCATAAAAATGTTGCAAAATTCACAACGAGATAAAGGAGAAATAAAAATTACCCATAACCTCTCCATTCCTCACAGTCACAGCCAATCCTTTCCTGTGTTTTTCTTGTGGTCTTTTAGCTAATATACAGATACATAAAGATGGAGTGGGAATTTGTATAAATAAAAATTTGGGATCATACAGCCAATACTCTGGCATCTTACAGTTTTTACTTAGCATGGTAAATTATGAGTCAAATATTTCTTTCATTAGATATCTGTATAGTGTCTAGTCTTACATATTAGAAATATCCACGAGACTCTTCAACGAACATTCAGTTTCCTCACATACATGTTCAATCCAAGGAGAAATGACATACATTTATTTATTTATTTACTTATTTATTTATTGAATGTCGAATGCTGTTTATTGAAGGAGGGAGGAGGTCTTTAATACAGGCTTACAGCACAATGGGAGAACCCCGGAGGGCAGAAGTTCGCTACTGATGTTTTGCAATCTTGCATCTAAGCTGTTAACGCCCAATATGCAGGATACACAGACAAGGAACTTCCCTTAAGCATTCAGGAGGGTGGAATCCAGCAGGGAATTAGCATAGGGAGGATATCAAGGTCAAGGTCAGCAAGCAAAGCAACAGTTACCCAAAACAGGAGCCAGGGCCCTACAGGTCCCCCCTTTTACTAAAAAATGAACTTAGGTTGCTTGGGACGTCAGCAGGTCACCTCACCCATCATGGAGACACCTGCCCAGGCCACACAGGCCTTCTGTCTTAGGTTGGTGAGCGCCCCTCAGGCATTACCCGTTTCTGAATACTCATTATCATATAGGCTCAATTGTGTGTGAGCTGCAGCATTAACTGCTGCTAAAGATCTCAAAGTGGCACTGGGCTTGCAATCTGTGTGTTTGACACAGAAAAGACCAACAGAAGTCTTAACCCACCCATAGCCAGTAGGCTAAAGGCAACTGAGCCATTCCCTTCCTTAACGAGCTTTACTGCAAATTGGAGTAAGATGGTATCCCAAAAGCAAATGGAATTTGAGTTTATAAATTTATAACTTTAAAAGCCAATTGAAAGGTATATAACTATTGAATTAAATTTATCATTCCCAATAGAATGAAAGATTAACTAACTGTGGTAGCTACTTTTGCTGCCAGGGTCTCCACTGCGCTAGCTATAGTAAGCAATTATGAAATGGCAATCCCAGAAACAGTAACAGCGGTAGCCACCTCTGCTATAACAGCAACAACAGCAGCAGCGATGGAGAAATGACATTTATTCTGCAGTACATTATAATTACCCTTTTCCTGCTAACGCTGGACAAATTGGACTCTTGTAATTCTCAGCGACAGCGCCACAAGAGGTGCACCGAGTTTTAAATAAGGTTCCTGAAAGAAAAGACACGTGCCAAGCAAGTTCAGAACTTAGTATCATAGAGAGCAAAGTCTCTGTGTTTGAGAGGCCGGAAAATAATTCATCTTCCTATGTTCATTTTTACCGAGTGGGTCTACCCTAGGAATCATGGGAAATACAAAAACGTGCTTTCTTAGTCACTGTTCTACTGCTGTGAAGAGACACCATGCGGGCGGCGGTGGCGCACGCCTTTAATCCCAGCACTCGGGGGGCAGAGGCAGGTGGATCTCTGTGAGTTCGAGGTCAGCTTGGTCTACAAAGTGAGTTCCAGGACAGGCTCCAAAGGCTACACCAAGAAACCCTGTCTCAGGAAAAAAAAAAAGAAAGAGAGAGAGACACCATGACCAAGGCAACTCTTATTAGAGACAGAATTGAATTGTGGACTTGCTTACAGTTTCAGAGGGTCAGTCTACTGTCATTGCCCCTGGGGCATGGCAGAAGCATGGCAGCACTCATGGCACTGGAACAGTAGTTGATCCACAAGGAGAGAGAGCAACTTGGGTCTAGTGTGAGCTTTTTTTTTTTTTTTTTTCAATTTATTATGTATACAGTGAGTGTTCTGTCTGCAGGCCAGAAGAGGGCACCAGATCTCATTGTAGATGGTTGTGAGCCACCATGTGGGTGCTGGGAATTGAACTCAGGACCTATGGAAGAGCAGCCAGTGCTCTTAACCTCTGAGCCATCTCTCCAGCCCTAGTGTGAGCTTTTGAACCCTCAAAACCCACCCCTACTGACACGCTTTCTCCAACAAGGCCACACCTCCTAATTCTTCTCAAACAGTGCCACTCCCTTGTGGTGGTATTGTGTTCCCCAAAATATCGTGTACCTTAATAAACTTATCTGGGGTCAGAGAACAGAAAAGCCACTAGTTAGGCAGTGATAGCACACGCCTTTAATCCTAGCATTTCAGAGATAGAAATCCCTCTGGATCTCTGTGAGTTCAAGGCCACATTGGAAAAAGCCAAGCATGGTGACACATGCCTTTAATCCCAGAAAGCCAGCCTTTAATCCCAGAGAGTGGTGGTAGAAAGCAGAAAGATATATAAGGCGTGAGGACCAGAAACTAGAAGCTTTTGGCTGGTTAAGCATGTGGCTGGTTAAGCTTCAGGCTTTCCAGCAGCAGTTCAGCTGAAAGCCATTGGGATGAGGACACAGAAGCTTCCAGTCTGAGGAAACAAGACCAGCTGAGAAGTTGACCAGGTGAGGTTAGCTGTGGCTTGTTCTGTCTCTCTGATCTACCAGCATGGACCCCAATAACTCGCCTTGGGTTTGATTTTATTAATAAGAACTTTTAAGATTCCTGCTACACTCCCTGCTGACTGAGTGTTCAGATATAGGAGCCTATGGGGGTCACTCTTATTCAAACCACCACGCATGCTCTACTGTTTAACCAACCAAAAAACAAACGCCTTCAAGGACAGCATGACCTGGCCGGGAAATAACTACAAGGCTAATATCCCCCATATGTCCCTGGGGTGATGTTCAGATGTCACTGAAGAGATCAAGAGGGAAGTAGCCACTCAACCTGAAGCCAAGAGTCTGAGTTACCAACTATGTGCACAATTACAAAGGGCTGGAAAGACGGGGCGGCTGTTAAAGGTTTAGTCTCACACCTTAAAGTCTGTCAATCATGTCGAGTGCGTAAATTCTTTAATAGAACTTGAACCTTTTCTACCAAAGAAACTCACTAACTAATTAACTAATAATAAATAAAAATAATTGCTAGTAATAGCGACTTTCTACAGTGCAATGATGGTGGCCACAGTTCAAACAGTTGCTGCTGCTCACTGCGCTCTGGGCTCTACACTCACAGTGCACACAGATAGTGGCAGCCTGCCTCCTCTGCCTTCTTTGGAGACCACCGCTCCTCTACGCCACGCTGAGCTGCTGGGGCCATGCGTCATATGACAAAAGAATCCTGGCCACAGCCTCCCGGCTAGCACACTCACAGTATGTCACTCTGGCAGGGGTGTGTGACCCAAGTGAATCACTCAAGAGGTGTGTTTCCTGAGGGGCTAGCTCTGCCCGTCAGTCCCGTCAGCTGGACAGACCTTATAATCACCTAGCATGTACACCTCTGGGCATGTCCGTGAAGATGTTTCCAAAGAAATTAGCAGAGAAAGGAAGCCCAGTGGAGCGATGGCTCAGTGGTAAAAAGCCCTTGGTGTGCTTGCAGAGGATGCAAGTTCGATTCCCAGCACCTACATGGTGGCTCTCAGGTATCCTTAACTAAGTTCCAGGAGGATGCAACACCCTCTTCTGGGTTCCAGGGGCACCAGGCACACACATGGTGCACACCCAAACACGTACAAGAAAATAAACAGTTCCTTGGGGGTCTTAGCTCCTATATGACCAAATTAAGAAGAAACAACAGTAGAACCATGAAGGGACCACAGCCATGGGCAGCCGATTCACGGCACACACGTCACCCACTGAGTGCCCAAGGATAAGAAGGCTGTCGTTCAGGGCACAGGAGAGGTTGCTCCTGGCCAAAGCAGGTGTCTCCCATGCTTCCATGCTTCCCAAGCTCCGTGCCGAGCTGCATTACTTCGTGAGCTGTGGCATTTCAAAGTCACGTGATCAGGAACTGATCTTATGAAGCCTGGAAGGACCAAACACTCTCACCACAACTTGGAGCTGTTGGTGCTGACCCACGACCTCCACCAAAGCCCATGGAAAGAGCTGGCTTTAGAAAGACAGAAGAAAAACCATCTGGGAAAAAGAAAATCACAAATAAATAAATAAAATATTAACAAGAAAAGAAAAAAATGTTTAAAAGCAGGAGGAAGTTCCACCTTAAATACAAGTGGCAGCTTGGCCAAGCGTAGTGCCACACACCTTTAATCCCAGCACTCAGGAGGCAGAGGCAGGCGGATCTCTGTGGTCTGCAGAGTGAGTTCCAGGACAGCCAGGGCTGTTACAGAGAAATCCTGTCTCAACAACAACAACAACAGAATGGCAGCACCACACAGGCCTGGGTCATGATCAGAATAAACAGAATAAAAAGGAAAGCACAGGTGTGTTGGCACATGCCTTTAAGTCCAGGCGGATCTCTGAGTTCGAGCCAGCCTGGTCTACTTAGTGAGTTCCGAGACAGCCAGGGCTACACAGAGAAACCCTAACACAAAAAAAAAAAAAAAAAAAAAAAAAAAAAAAAAGCACAAGAGAAGCACCTCAGCCCTCTCTGCTCCCTGAGTGCTGCTGCAGTATAACCAGACCCTCACACAACAAGCCAAAGTAATCCATGGTTACTGTGCCACCTCAGACCCTGGCACAGATGAACTGCCTTTCTCTGAAGTTGTTTTTTCCAGGCACGCAGTCACAGTGATTTTAAAAAAGTAACTATTTCAGGGATTTTTTTTTCTTTTTTTCTTTATTTACTATGTATACAATGTTCTGCCTGCATATATGCCTGCATGCCAGAAGAGGGCGCCAGATCTCATTACAGATGGCTGTGAGCCACCATGTGGCTGCTGGGAATTGAACTCAGGACCTCTGGAAGAACAGCCAGTGATCTTAACCTCTGAGCCATCTCTACAGCCGAGGGATTTTTTTTTTTTTAAACAGGGTGTTGCTATCTTGTTCAGTTTGGTCCCGACTTTAGACTCTAGACTCCAACCATTCTCCTGCCTCAGTTTCCCACTTATTTGAGACTATAGGTGAGTATAGTCAACATTTAGCTTATGTATCTTAAAATCATAATCCAATTCAATGATATGGAGTTTCTTTTATTTTTACCCCAGAAAAGAGTTCTCACTATTTGTACCAGGACAAACAAACAAACAAACAAAAAATCCCACCGCCTTCACTCTCTGCATGGCAGGGAAAATATGTGGGCATTGCTGAGAAATAAACAGAAACACGTGGGAAACAGCGCAGAGCCAGAGGAAGGTAAGCGTTAACCAGAGAACAGCGTTCTGTATCAAGTGACCCTGAGCAGGCTGAACGTGCTTTTCACTGCACCCGTGCAGGTAGACAACATGGGTGAGCTGCTTCTCAACTTGTACACGAGGAAATGCATTCCTTGGGGTTAGGTTTTGTGGGTATGATACTAACAGCCTTGGGCAGAAATCTACCCAGAAAGAAGCCAGAGGGACGGAAGACAAACTCCACGGGTGTTACAAACAGGGTGGGCTTGATACAGATAGGGTCCGGGGCCAGCACCCCTCTCTCGGGCTCTAGGGTGAATGAAGCAGGACAGCTTCTGTGACAAATTTCCTACTGCGGACAAAGGACAAATAAGTAAACACCCCAGGAGGCTGAAGTCACAGCTGGCCATGTCCGGTCCTGCTGAAGCCGCAGTGGTCCTAGCACCCAGGCCTTTCTCCTTCGCTCCCTCCACTCCCACGAAGTGTGCACCCCTCAGCCCCCCTTTCTCCCTCTCTCTCTTTCTCTCTCTCTTCTCTCCATCTTTCCTATCTTCTATTCATCTCTCTATTATAATAAACCATTTCTGTGAGGATGCAGCCTCTGGGTTGTAAATGTCCACCCACTGCCCCGCTGCCATGCCTGCCAGTCCACGGCTGCATCTGCCCATCATGCCAGCGTGGTTCACTGCACACGTGGGATACCCATGCCGCCCGCCCCATAGTAATAATTCATAACACTGGCGCCTGTATACAATGTCATAACACTTCCGTCCCTGGGTCACAGCACAGCCTCCTTCCACAGATGTCCCAGGAGCAGGGACGTGTGACTGTGTAGACAGCTCTTCTCAGGAGTACAGGAACACCGATAACACCCGATACTGTGCAGTGGGGGCCTTGGGAGAAATGCAGGTTCTGTTTTGGTGTGTCCAGGTCGGACCTGTCTAACTGAAACCCAGAGCACTTGACACTATTGGTTCTCAGTCCGTACTCCAACTAGCAGGTTGCAGGAAATAACAAGTGAGTGGTGTCCCTTGTTGCCTGTAGGAGCTGTTCAGGTGCTATCGGGCACCAGTGTGTCCCCGAGGGAAGTGCCACAACATCCTGGGGGAGGGACAGCTGTGAAGCAGTGTAGGGTGGAGAGACTGTTTTAAAATCTGGTCTCCTGCAAGGGCCTTGGTGTCGAACACCTTTGATCCCAGCACTTGGGAGGCAGAAGCAGGTGAACTCTGTGAGTTTGAGGCCAGCCTGGTCTACAAAGGGAGTTCCAGGACAGCCAGGGCTACACCCAGAGAAATGCTGTCTTGTAAAAACAAAAAGACAAATGAACAAAAAAATCTGGTCGCCCTCACCGTGGATTTCCAGCAGGTTCTTGGTGCCAGCCTTGCGGTGCAGCTCATCAATGTTCTGGGTGATGACCACAACCCGGCGGCCCTGGTCACGCAGCCGAGCTTCACACTGGGCAATGGCTATGTGCCCCGGGTTGGGTTCCTTGCTCTGCATGACTTCCCTCCGGTAGTGGTAGAACTCCCACACCTGAGACGGGTTGCGGGCAAAGGCCTGAGGAGTCGCCAGGTCCTGAGGGGAAAGGCAGAGGTCGGTGAGGGACCTGTGAGGTGGAGATGGGCAGTCGTAGGTCTGGCTAGACTGTGTAGCACGGGACCAACCCGGGACTTCAGACAGGTCACTCTTAACTTCCCCTGCTGATGAGACAGAGGCAACGTAACCCACCTCACTAATCTCACAAATTATGACAAGAAGTAAAGTGACATTTGGGAAAGTGTCTGGGGTTGAATTTATTCCCGTAGAGCTCTAAGAAATAAAAATTCAATATCATTGTGAGGGAGCTCCAAGAGAAATATGAAATGAAAAATGCCCCTGTGAGATCCATCAGGCACAGAAAGGAGCTTAGACACACAACAACTCACATATACACAGACACACACACCTACACACAACTAAAAACACAGCACATACAAGCAAGCATACAGCACACAACTGTACCAATTATATACACACATGTACAGACACACACACCTACACACAACTAAAAACACAACACATACAAGCAAGCACACAGCACACAACTGTACCAATTATATACACACATGTACAGACGCACATACCTACACACAATTAAAAACACAGCACATACAGACACACAGCATACAACTATACACATCTACACAACTACATACAGTTAAATGTATTGTGCACAAACTACACATATGTGTATGTATACACACATAGTTACCCCATACATATATCCATATTTATACATAAACCCTACCTATATATATGCATACACACACAACATATACATAGTCACATGTATTTATGCTATAATTATGCAAAAATATTTGCATATACACAACTGCATGCATATATACAGCTACATGTATTTATTATACATAAGCCATACACATATGCATGCACACACATAACTATAAACAAACATAGTTATACCCATACAGACACATATACACACATACAATTACATGCATATAGCTACATGTTATAACATGCACACCACACACACACATATATATGTATATACTCACACACAACTATACAATATATCCAGCTATGTACAGATGGCTACATGCACTCAGAAGTACACATGTATACAACTAAACATGAACATTTAGTTACATGTACTTACACATGAACAAATATATACAAACATACATACAACTCTATGGATACGTTACATCTACTTACACACAAACCGCATGTATGTATGTACATATAAAAAACTACACACATGCATATGGCTATGTATTTATAAATTACATATATATATAAAGGAAGGTCAGGAGAACTTGGGCCAATCTGGAAAACAGAGCCTAGCCCTGTTAAGAAAAGCCGCTCCTTGCTTGGGAGGTGGGCACGGCACCCCCCACTCTCCCACCCTCCCACCTCCCTCCCACCCCAGGAGACAGAACTGCTACAAAAGACCAGCAGGGGAGGCTCCCAAGAGCCTCTAAAACATCCAGACAGCCTCTGGCGGGCTCCGCCTCCAGGGCCTCCCACCGAGACAGGAGTTGTTTGTCCCTTTGTTGTTTTCCTCTTTGCCGCAGGTCCCTGGGCTCTGCTTCAGGCTGTGACTGACTTCACTGCCCCCAGGATGACAACCCACTTTCCCTCTGGACCCTCGGGTCTCTGCTTCCACAGTGGGGCGGGCGGGGCGTGTCCCCGCCTCAGATCTCTGTCACACTGTCAGTGGCTTCTGTCTCCCGTGGGTCACTCCAGGACATACAATTAATTCTTCGTCCCATGGAATGAACTCGGTGGTACCCTAGATGACCAGCCCTCACCAAGATAATCAAACACATATGCATGCATACATACAGCTATATAATACATACTCAAACTCTACAGAAATGCACGCACACCCAGCCATACACATATGTGAGCCACATTAAATACATGCATACATACACATAAAAACAATACCTATTATAGAATACATGAAATATCTGCACTTGAGGCACTGGCCCTCTCCTAAGACAGAGTTCTTTCTGTGATAGAGGCACAGCACAGCTGTCTGAGCTGGAAGCTGACAGGAAGTGGACAAGGTAATCCTTAACGGTCATGGACATGTTCTGAATCCTGCCTGCTACCTCAGGTCCACACTGAACTGTGCACACAACCCACAAGTTCATTCCGGGCTGTGTTAATTTTGAAAAGAAGCTTATCATGGATGTCCCACATTCATAGGCACATCTCCACGCCAAGCAGAGACATCTCCACCCCAAGCAGGGACAGTAGCCTCCCTTTGAGAGTCATGGCAGGCACAGCGCATGGCCCTCCGGGACCCTGTGCTCCTTCTCCTAGGACACCCTGGCCAGGAGCACCTGTGCCATTAACCTATGAACTGTGACCGCATACACGGGCTTTGGGGCAGGGTTGGAATCAGATGTGCCCTCTGACCTCTCTGCTTACTGGCCAACTCTGAGCTTCCTCTGAGACCAGAGCAGCCCTTCCCAGTTCTTCCTGCCTCCTGCTGCTGTCCGCAGGACGCCTCTGGTGGTCCTTCTCTCTTACTGGACTCTTGGAGCCCTCGACTCCTTACTCCCCTCCTGGGCCTGAGGAGCGCCAGCGCATCCCAGTTTCTCCTGCTTCAACACTTAGGCGGAAGGAGGGACAGTGCTTGCTCTGCACTCAGCGAGAAAGCCCTGCAGATTTTTCAAGGCAGGCACTAAGGTGGTTAATTTTGTCTTCACTCAACTAACCAAAAATGTATGAAGCCTGCATCAGGTGCTAGCGTTCTGCGGCTGGGAGCTTGGCAATGGGCACAACACATGAAGTTCCCTGCTCTCTAAAACGAAGGATTTCCAGAATGGGAGAGACAGCTAGGAGGGCCCAAGCACATTTCCCAGAACCTGCATTAGGCTGCTGACAATCACCTGTAACTCCAGATGCAGAAGACATAATGCCCTCTTCTAGCGTCTGAGGGCACCACGTGCATCTGCAGCACCCCACCCACATACACACAATTAAAAATAAAAATGAGCCGGGAGGCAGTCGTGCACGCCTTTAATCCCAGCACTCGGGAGGCAGAGCCAGGTGGATCTCTGTGAGTTCGAGGCCAGCCTGGTCTACAGAGCGAAAACTATGCAGAGAAG